CCGTCTTCTTCACACCTTCTATATTTATCGATACCTGCACCATAACTAGCACTTAATTATCATCGTTCTCCAGAACATCAGTTTCCTGTTCCACTTTGTGACGCCTTAGCAGCATATTTCTATCTTACCAATCCTGGTCCGGAAGCTGGATTTGAACCATTTGATCCTAAACAAATTATATTTGCAGGCTCTAGTGCTGGTGGTGGACTGGCTGTCGCTACTGTATTATTACTTCGTGAAATCGGGTTACCATTGCCATCAGGACTTGTTTTATGGGTATCTCCATCAGTCTTTTTATTATTCACAAAATTTTTATTTTAAATCATTGCATCAGATCATAATTTTATTCTTCCTTTAACAATGATGAATTCCAAAAGTCACCATGGGTAGATTTAACATGTAGTATGCCATCAATTTGGAATCCTGAAATGGATAAAACAGATTTTGTTCCTATGATAAAATTTCCTAATCTTGGAACATCTTCAATGTCAATTGAATTTCATGAACGAGCAAAAATTCTTGCAGAAAAAATTAAACAAAAAAATCCAAATGTGGTTGGTCATCCTTCGTTTGCCAAGGCTCCAAGATTTTTATTATATTGTGCAAATGAAGCATTGGCTATTCCGTATATTAGTCCAATGTTGGCTGAAAGTTTGGGAAATTTACCACCTATTTTATGTGTAAGTAATTAAAATTAAAATGATCTTTTCATATCGAATTTTATGTTAATCACTTCAATTATATTATTTATATGATATTTTTTTTAAAATTTATTAATTAAAATAGCAAGTAGGCGGTGGAGAAAGATTTCTAGATTCAGATATTTTATTTAGTTTCAGAGCTTCTGATCCGAGCAAATTTCAATTACCTAAATATGCTACAATGAATTTTACTAATTCACCATTTAAAAAGCCTACAAAAGTCATACTTGAAGTTTATGATGAAGCAAGTCACTGTTTTCAACAAGTGAGTTTTATTTTACATCACAAAATTTCAGAATTTTCCAACTATTTTTTATGTGAATATATTATTTATATTTATATTTTTATTGTTGCATAATTGTATTTAGACATTTCAAGATAAAATTACAGACTTCTCAATAATTCGTTCTTGTGATTTTATTAAAAATACACTCAATAAAAACATTCCAGATGAAGCTGAGAATAAATCTTTTCAAGGAATACATAAAAATATTACTGCTATTGCAATTAACCCTAATTGTGAAATTAGAGAATTAGATGAAAAATATCTAGAATGTTTAAAATGGGAAAATATTGGAGTCATTCCAGAATTGTAAGCGGTAATACAATATATAAACAAATATATAGTTAACTACTTAGTTATTTCAATTTTTTTAAAAATTAATTAAAAAAGATATGATATGCAATAACAATGTTAATACTGTATCTTTTTGAGATTATTATTAATAAATAGTAAATTGTGATTCTGATTTGATAAATCATAATGTCAACGTAGATAGTAATTCGTGAGATGTACTCATAGCGATAGCAAAAAAAAAAAAAATCATAATATTTAAACCAATCAGAATCATTTTAACAAGTATTAATTTTTACAAGTAAATCACTATATAATAATGAAGTCATTATTCTTTATATAAGCTATAATACGTATTATATTAAGAGTTATAGCTAAGACAAATATTTAGAAAAGCTTATCAAAAATTTATATAAATAATTATTTTAATTGAATTTTTTTTAAAATTATCTATCTTCTATTTTTAGCTTACAAACAATTGAAACATTGAATAAATCAAATACTGCTTTTATTAAAACTATAAAAACTAATTCAAAAATTACTTTGGGTTGTTTATCAGAATCCCAACACACAAAATCCCGACACACAAAATCCCGGCAACAAAATCCTGTATCATGATTTTGTTGCTAGGATTTTGTGTGTTGGGATTTTGTATATTGGGATTCAAAAAATATCTATCAAATATATATGAAAACCTGATTTTGCATATTAAATAATTGATTTTTTTACTCTTATATTGTAAATAATGAATTTATATTTAGTTTATATGATTCAAATTGGTGTTTAATTTGACAAATAAATTAAAATAAGAATTCCCACCAAATATTACATTTATATTATGGCTAAATAAATAGATCTCCAAATATATCCACTTGAGCCTCTAATATAAGTGTCATATAATTAAATACTACTGGAAAGTGCTTCAATAATTTTTTTTTAATACTTGATTCTCATATTTGACATATTTATTAAGAATATTATTGACTTGTGCTATAATATTTGAACTCATGATATTAGATGAATAAAATAGAAATAGTGTTGTAATATCAAATAAATTTGCAAATAAATTTATATTGGTTTGATGATTTAAAAAAATTAGATTATTCTGATAACTTGAAGAAATTTTCACTATTTTGAATTGATTCTTTAGTAGAATAATAATGTTCCAAGATTTTATTAGAAACAAGTTGGTTTAAAGTACTAAGAATTATGGTTGTTTCTAAACAATTAGCAGAATCATTGTCCTAATATTTTTTGTAAAGTTCAATATATTGAGATGGAGTACTCTCTATAGATTTTTTTCTATTTTTTAGAAAAATAGAAATAACAAGTGAACCTCTTCTTTTAGATAATTGGAATAGTGGCTTTTTGCTTGAAATTTTACTCCAAAGTTATAGCCATCAAATTTGCTATTATATTTATATTTGGGATTGATAAAATATTTAGAATTGATATATGCTAGCAATTAAGTTTAGAGTTATAGATGTTTTATTTAACTGTTTTGATAGTCCAAATTTATAATTATAGGCTGCCTTTGATGAATTAAGATGTTTTTCAAATACTAAATTATTTAAATATAATATTTAAATTACATTTTAGAAAAATCAATAATTATAAATTCAGTAAAAAATACATAGAACTATACTTACAAAATCTCTATGAATAATATTATTATTATATTAAAATAAGAGTCCAAGTGCTATTTCTTTAGCAATATGTAGTTTATTATTCTATTGTAATTTTATAAATTTTGTCATTAGATATTCTTATAAAGTTTTATCATTTGTATAATATAAAACTATATTATAGTATCTATTGCCATTTATATATTTAGATTTGATAAATATATTTGTTTAACATGATCATTATTTAATACTTTTAAAAATTATACTAATTTATTCAACTTTTGTGACTTCATAGAATGTAATATTGCTTGAAGAATAACAAACTCTTTGTAATTGTTTAAGATATTTTATATCAGAGTTGGATTCTGTAGTCTAGTAGTCTTGATACCTAACTTTTCACAAGCAGGTTACAGGTTCAAGTCCTAGTAGATATAGATTCTATAAATATTTGAATATACTCACTATAGGAAGTCAAATAAGTACAAGTCTAAATTAGAAATTTCCAGAAGGAGGTTTACTATAAAGATGTTAGCACTATATATAATAGTAGTTATTACAAAAGGTTCTATTACACAAAAGTTATATGTATAAATTTTTAATTGGCATAGATAGCACTAACAACTCTAAAGTGGTACTAGGATCTTGTTTGGAAGAATGACTAGATAGTAACTAGAATTGGAATAGTAAGAAAAGTAATAAATATAAAGAGATCTGTGGTAAAGAATTGGCCTTACTAGATTTGAAACATCTCTAATACTGTGTAGAACTACTTATCAAAAAAAGGAAAAATATGAAGGTGTATATGTATCAAGATTGAATGGAGCACTACTTATTTATATGGGAGTTTTATGATGTTACAAGAGCCTAGAATCACTAAAATTAGTTTAGCTAATACAAATGTATATAGTATATAACTGAGACTATAACTACTGAGAATTATTATAAAAAGAAATAATAATATACCTATTATAATCTTCTAAGCCTTATGATACTATCCAACTATAAAAGGTTCTAAAAATATAGAATAACCTATTATAAAACATGCCTAAACACCTCACCATTATAGAGAGAAATACAGTTATTTTTACAATTACCAAATTTAATACATTAAGATCTAGATCCTGAAAGTCACAAAAAAGTTGGCAGTTGTGGCAACATGCAGACTTGAAATACTTACTTAATATAGTAGAAGTAGCTTTATGGCTTGAGCTATGAACCTCTAACAAGTATTCTAAATAGAAATACCAACTAGATACACCAAATTAGAAGCAAAAAGCATCTACCTGAAGAATTAATACACCAATTTGAAAGTTGAGATAGTAGATAAAGTGGGTAAAGCAGAGGATATGTAAAAGTTAATTAGAGATACTAAAAATACTTAAAATCTAGAGCAATCATATATATGAGAATATTAATAGCTCTAGTAGGTTTTAGCTATAAATAAATAGTTTTAGCATTAATATATAATATATATATATTTATAGCACTACCATATATTAATTCACTTGCTATAACAAGCTGGCATTAGTATCATAGCAAATCCTAACACTGCCTGGCCCCAAGTAATTCAAGACAGCAACACACCACTAGAGCTAATACTAAATACAAATATCAAATACAAAGTATTCAAACAGCAGCTCTAATGCAAATATATTCTCTACTTAGAACAGCTATGCTTAGCAGATAATAAGCACCTACTGGAATGGCAACATATCTCACCCAGACTCTTACATTTGCCTAAAGAGAAAAGACCTGGGTGGTTCACTCAGCTTGAAGAGCTAATATTAGATAACCCTATCTATAGAACTCTACTACCACAGTTTCGACTACCAGATACCAACTCTTTCATATATCAATCCAACAGTATCTTCAAAAAACTAAAACCATGGATCCTTACTTATCAACAAGAGGAAATTATCATTGGGCAAATAAGGAAAAAGTTACTACAAACCAATATGGTTTCTATTACATACTGGCAACACAATATCAATACAAATCACT